CAAAAGATAAGCAAGGAGGTTCTGGGCCTAAACATATAGGTGGTCCCGTGACTCCAGTGGAATAATTAGAGAGAATTGTTCCCTCTTCTTCTGGCTTAAAGGGACCTCTATCATCATATGGTCCAGGGAGCCATGAACTCTCATTCACATAGATAGGAACAGAGGGTTCAAGCCATGAGACTCCTCTTAACAATGGTGGGTTAGGAATATAACTCCAATAAGTATAATTTTGTTGTGCACTTACCTGTGTGTTAATTATGGCTATCATTGCAAGAAACAAGGCTCGAGGGGTCACTCACTGGTTGATTGCTCACCATCACAGTTGTTTTTGCTTCCTGGCATAGTTGAGAAATCCCTCCCCAAGTTATTGGGGGAGAGGAGTGGCGTTTCCTTTGCATTCTCTGACTGGATCTAGGCATTAGTTGTTTTCTCTGCTCTTTTAGTGACAGACAGAGCATCCCCACAGTCAGATTCCTGTCTCCTCTTCGCCTTCTCTGTTGGGGGCGCCATTGGCGAGAGCATGGCGTCATGTCGCAGTTTGATGTGTTTGTCTGGGAACCAGAATTCATTGTCTCCTGTGGAGAGAAGAGCATACCCTCTACCCCAACGCACCACTACAGCTGGAAGCCATTCATTTTTTATTATGTCTTTGTAATACACAGGCTGATTAATTGCTGGTGGTATTATTTTTACCCAAAGTTTATCAGAAGGAGCTTTTCCTTCATTATCCAAATTAAAGAAATTTAAAGTAAAAAGAGCTGAGGGTATTCTATTGTGGAGAGTGGCATTATATCCTATTCCCCCTTTCTGTTTAAAAAGCATATCTTTTAGAGTTCTATTTTGTCTTTCAATGATGGTTTGTCCAGTGCTATTTCCTGGAATTCCTATAATATGCTTAATATGTTATGCTTCAAAAAATGATTGACATTTTTTAGAAATATAAGCTGACCCATTATCTGTTTTGATGGATGTTGGGACACCCATAACTGCAAAACCTTCCAATAATAAAATAATGGCAAATAGTTCAGCCTTTTGTACAGACTGATAAGGAGATTGCTTAACCTTTTGTACATCTCCACATATATATCCAGCTTATCCTTGTTTATTAGCATCAGTAAAACAGGTTAAGGCATCATTAATAGGTTGAGACATCACAATTTTAGGCAAAATCCAGGAAGTTTGTTTAAGGAACTGTATTCTTTTATCTGAAGGATATTCATTACTAATAACTCCTACATAGTCAATGAAAGCAATTTGCCAATCTTGTAACATCGTGAATATGTCAACTTTTTTATTTTCCATAGGAACAACAATTTTATCTGGATCTTTTCCTACCATTTGACGAAGTCTTTTTCTCCCTTTAATAACTATATTAGCTATTTTTTCTACATAAGGCTGGAGTTTTTTAGCAGCCTTATGCGGCAGAAAACACCATTCAATAAAATTATTGTTTTGAGTTAGCAATCCAGTAGGAGAATGTTCAGAAGGAAAAACATACAATATAAAATTTTCATTATTAGTAATTCGATCTAATTGTGATTCCTGAATATGTTTTTCTAACCATATTAGTTCCTTTTCAGCCTCAGGACTTACTGTCCTGGGACTGTTTAAGTCGGTATCTCCTTCTAATATTGAAAATAAATTAGTGAGAGAGTAAGTGGGAATTCCTAAGGAAGGATGTACCCAATTAATGTCACCTAATAATTTTTGAAAATCATTTAATGTTTTGAGAGAATTTCTTCGAATCTGCACCTTTTGGGGGATAATTTGTTGTGCAGTTATTTTGTAACCTAGGTATTTCCATGGATCATTTCTTTGGATTTTTTCTGGTGCTACATGCAGGCCATATTCATTAAATGATAAGCAAACAGCCTGAACAATATTATTAAGAGTGTACTGATCCAAATGAGCAAATAAAATATCATCCATATAATGATAGTAAATACCATCTGGAAATTGAGATGCCAATTTTCTTAAAGGTTG